TACATGACACTTGACCTCCGTTTCTGACACATTATCAAAAAACTGTTGAAAATAAAGCAACAGGATGAACAAATTTCAGCTCATGGGAAAAGACTGATATAGTTCTATCCTCGTTATATAAGCATTATAACACTTGCTTGTTATTGTCCTATCATCTATTGTCTTACATGACACTTGAGTTCTGTTCCTTTTAGAAACAGCTGAAAATGAAAGCTTTGGGATGTACTTCTGGTATTGTTCAACAAGCTTCTTCATCTCTACCGAAAAGAATCTTTTCAGTTGTCATGGAGCCACATCTGAACTGCTTACTTGGTCGGGCACCAAATGTGCACGAACTCTAAATCTTCATGTACTATGGCTTTGTGCAGATCTCTAGCTGATGCCCATGATTGCCACCAATTGTGCTAACATGATTTGTCAGTCTTCCCTGATCAAGGTATCCACTCTCTGGCAATGTCGATGTGCAACTGGATTGGCCTTCTCCTGTTACACATGTTCTTCCTGCTTTAAAGTGTTCTACCCACTCATATGCCTTTCCTTGATTCCTGGTGTATGATCCACACTGTGCCAATATCCAAAGCACACTATGGCACATTGTTCTTCGATGATGGACTCACTGAGTAGAGCTTACATACGTCTGACCTTATTTATCTGTCACTCAAGTCAACAATGGAATACTGCATGCAGATAGCTATCCATTTTCCAATATCCATGTGTGTTTCCACCTCTCTATGGTTTTTACCATGTAATTTCAAAATTGTGTTTACTTTCTCATTTACCTATATATATATATATATATAAATTATAGGCATTTATGAAATATATAACTATAATTTTACACCATTTGGACTGTTGTCCTGATCTTTATTGCCCTATAATTGTCATTGAAAGTTGTTATTATAATGTCATTACATGATGCGATGGGTAAATTGTCGCCATTTCATATTTTTAATTTTATGCAAGCACGTTGTTTGTTTTTGATTTTGTTAACTGCACAGAACAGCAGGGTCATTTGGGCACCATCTGTGAGAAAAGGAACCCTATGATGCAATTCACTCTGCCAGAAATTTGGAAACAGTTGGCATTTACACCAGAAGCTCCAATACAAACATTTCAGAGTGTTTGGGTATCAAGTTGAGGACAGTGTAGAGGATTCGGAAAGAGTTGGATGAGTCCAATGGTGATTATGAAGGTGTTTGGAGTGATCTCTAATGATGGTGATGTTATGCTTCTATACATCTTCCTACAAGGCCTCAAATGCAACACAGAGGCCTACATCAGATGCCTTGAGGAGGTAGTGCTGCCCTAGGTCAATTGGGTGGCTGCTGGAAGACCCAATGTCTGGCAACAGGATTCTGCACTATGTCACACAAGAAGGAGAACCCAGTCATGGCTGTCAAACAATTTCTGTGACCACATTACCCTTTACATCTGGCCACCTAACCCCCCAGACTGCAACCCCCTTGATCATTGTGTGTGGGTCACAGTTCAGTGAGAGACCAACAAAGCTCCTTGTAACACCAAAGATGAATTGAAGGCAAGGATTATTGCAACTTTCACCAACTTAAACAAGGAGACCATCCAGAAGAGTTGCAGGAGATTCCAAAGTCATCTGGAGGCCATGGGTGAAGACAATGGCAATTTTCTTGAATAAATTTACTCTTTAGCATTTTAAGATATTTTTGTGATTTTGGTAAATATATCTGTTAAAATGAGATGTTAGTGTTATTTTTATTTTTTGCATAATTTAGGTGACAATTTATCCATCACACCTAATATATAACCAGTATGATTGCTTGTCATTGCTTGTCATCATCTATCATCTTACGTGACACTTGAATTTCAGAAACTGTTGAAAACTGACATATTTTTCATTCCTAAAAAAAAAACTGTTGAAAATGAAACAAGATGCGCAATTTTAGTATTGTATCCAAAAATGCAAATGCGACTATCAGGAGGGAAAGAGAATTAAATGCATTTTTGGGGGGGGGGGATATTGTCTTTTTTGTTTATCTACACATTTGAATAAAATAAAAAAAATGAGAAACAAAACCTCAAGCGGATGAGTCAAAGTCTCACCTGATCAAATTGTTTTCAAATATTTTAAATTCACCGATGATTTCCAATCCTGTAACTGACTAATGGAGACTTTCTACTGACTCTGCCCCAGGAAGAAAAATGGGTTATCAAATTCTCATTACAAATGAATGAAAAAAATTAAGGAGAAAAAAAATGCTGCCATATGCAGACCTGATCTAGCATATGTGTTTTTTTATTAAAAAATAAACAAGATACTCATCTAAAAAAAAAAAAAAAAAAGCACAAAAATAACAACCTTGGTTTTTAATTGGTTGTTTTTTACAGTTTATCAACCTTTTTGCAAGTTTATTTAAAGCCAAAAAATATTTTTAGATTTTAAGAATTTTTGGAGACAATAATACTTTACTGATACAAGCTATATTAATTAACCTATAGCTGCGAGGTGAAGAAGAGATGGATTCATATCTTTCCCAAGGGTATTTGCATATAATTAAATATAACAAACCTGACTGGAATTAGAACTACCCCCCCCATTTCCAATTCCAAGCTGTTATCCTTCACACCAGCAGCCCATCCAAGCTTAAAGCACCTGGTATTCCCAAGCAGTTACCCAACTAGGTACTAACCAGGCTTGATGTTGCTTATCTTTGGTAATCATATGAGAACCAAAGAACAACCTTGGGAAAACATCATGTTTAAACTTTTCAAAAGGGCATAAAACAATAAAACAGGAGAATGCAATATAACAACTCTCCATTCTTGACAGTCCTGGGTATGGCGATAAGCTACATTCAGCTAGAAGGACTCTGATCAGGAGACTTGGAGGTTTTGAGGAGCATGGAAACACATCTTAATTTTTGTTGTTCCCAGGGTCACCCTGACCTGGGGTGATAGCACCTGTTAGGATCCCAGTAGTGGTCAAATAATAAACCTCTGAACAAAAATGAAATACTATGTATAAAATTGTTTTATAGTAAAGATACCAACAAAACATTTTTATATAAAAAAAAAAATGACCAACAACACATATTGATAGTAAAATGCCCAAAAATATATTTTATCTGTACTTGAAATTCATTCAAAATATTTAGATTTTGGCATGAAATAATATTTAGATGCATTCAAAATATTTAGATTTCGGCATGAAATAACCCATACCACTAAACAAAGTCAACCAAACCAAACTCTACAGTTTTCTAAGACAGGAAGCAGGAATGTTAATGGTAAAATTAATCATTTCCATGACAGAAAGATTCGGCTTCCATTGACCATTTAGCATTACTGTTAAGTGAAATCTTAAAATCATTCTCTTAAAACAACTTAATATTAGTCCTCTCAAGTCCACTAAATGTTATAGCTCTTTCTAGTATTGATGGGAGTTTCCATCCAAATCTTTTGTTTGCAGTAGGGTTGAAGATCAACATCTTGACTATGTCATTATTTTCCCTTCTAGTTACATATACTACCCATTCTCTATGTAAAGTAAGAGACATAGTAAAGCAGATACAAAGGGTTTGCCAACATCAGGTGATGTTAAATAATAAAAGCATTCTTACTAGTGTTGATCTCTTATGGGAGAAGCGTTTCACAAAAGATTACATTTATAATATTTATATAATACTAAAAGTCTTCTGATTGCGTGTTTGCGTGTGCATCTGCCATCTATCTGGTGCATAATGATTAAGTTAATCTGATTTAAGTGAATAAGATTTAAAAATACAAGTTGTTTATACAGTAAGTATTTTTATCTTAACTTTCTTCAAACAGACAATTTTCTTAATTAAAATATTTATAAGTTAAAGACAGCCACAAAGAGATCCCGCTTTGCTGTTTCGTCCAGTTGTTTGTAGAATAATTATTTATATTTCAGCTTTCTTTAAACAAACAATACTTTAAATATTTAAAAAATATTTTTTGGCATATTTAAAAAATTTAAATGTATAAGATTTAAAAATATAAGTTGTTTATACAGTAACATAACAATTCCTTTTGCATTTTGTACAAGTGTTCAAATATGCCATAAATAAATGCTGTTACTAGAGTCCAAGTTTATCCTAGAAGTTCTATTCCTATTAAATGCTGTAAATAAAATGTTAAACATGAACTTGTAAACTAGACCAATGATGATACGAATGATTTGAAATATTTAACTGAATCATAATAAAATTAACTTTCATTTCAATGGAATGTTAAAATCAACTTCACTGTTTTATAGCCCTGAACCGTCAGTGACCAAATGGGTCACATGTTGTCTAGTTCTATATAAATGTGGAAAATTATGTAAAGAAGAAACCTGTAATTCTCTTAAAGCCAGGCTCCTTCTTCTATGTACCATGTCCCTTCAGGACATTGGCAATAACAGCTTTTCACAATTTCCTCTCCTTTGTAGCTCTCAATAACTTGTCTTTTTGTTAATTCCTAAACCTTGTTCCACAATTCATTTACTCATGATCACTAAGTTAAGTGTTGTTTCTTCCGTCCCTCTTGCCTTCAATCTGTACTGTGAGTTTTAAATTTTCTAAGCCCTCTTTCCTCATTATGTGCCTTACAAATTTCAACTGTCTCTTTCTGATTCTAAGTATAAGTGTCTATAAGAGTGCAGATATTACTTAACAGTTCAGTACGCTTTTCTTTGTTTCTAACAACATTTTCCTATTTATTTACACTGTTGTCCTCATCCTTATTGCCATATTCATAACATTTCGGCCTTGTATGCTCCGACCTTCAAACCAAACCCTTTATTTAGTTCATGGGGGGGGGGAGTGTTCTAATTTCATGTGTCATGCCTTTTTGGGATATTTCAGTGTCAGTTAGTTCTTTTTAGTAAATCAACTCTCCATGTTTTTGTTTCATCTACTGTAGCCTGGTATTGAACTCACAACTCTTTGAGTCAAGTTACTTTTTGGATTACTTAACCAATGCTTTTATCCATTGGGTCATGTGTCCTTGACTTGATATAAGCAGTCACCCATCCAAATACTGACCAGGCTTGATGTTGCTTAACTTCAGTGATCTAACGGGAAACAGTGTTTCAACGTAATATGGCCGTAAGTGAAGTAAGCATAATCTCTGGATATACAAAAACAATAACATTCACAATCACTATGCTAATGGTAATATTCCTGATAAGGAAACATTATATCAACTAGTGCTTATCAAGTGGCAGCAAGCTTAGTATCAATCGTTAGTGAGTAAATTCCTCAGCTTTCAAAGCAATAATCAAAGAGCTTCTGCTAACAGATGTGAAGGCTGTTATTCAAATCTGGCTGACCCGATTAGTTTGCCTGGCAGTGTGCACCAGTTTCAGTGCAGATACACTAACAGCAGAACTGGTGGTGGCATTGATGCGAAATCGGAACCAACCTGATAGCAAGCCAATGAAAAATCATTCTCTGCACCTGCAACATATCTCTATCCTTCTCTCTATCTGACTTACCCTCTCTCTCTCTCTCTCTCTTGTAATCTCTTTCTCTCCCTTATTTGCTCCCCTTCTCTCTCTTTCTCTCTCTCTGACAAAACAGATCACACTGCCACCACCACTGCAACTTTTTAAACATTTCCCACCGCATTCGTAACACCTGCCATCTTTACAGAGTTCCACCACTGCCTCTATTATTCTGCATCAATAAAGTTTCCCACAATTCTCCAACTACTGAAATACCCATTGCCTTCAGAACCATTATCCTTCCATTATTTTCAAACAGTTTTTAGCAATGATGTTCACCCTGGACAAGACGCGAGAGCCACTCAAGGTAGAGGGTTACAAAGTAACAGGTTTATGTGGATACAGGTTTATGTGGATATGTGGGGAAGATAACCAATAAGCATAGACTTGAACAGGTTGAGATAGATCGGGGAAGCATCCTCTTGGGAGTCAGTTCCACAAAGCAGTGGTTCAAATATGAACATAAGGAATCTCTCATTGGTCATTCCAGGTCTTGTCATTCATTTTTTTACTGTGATGTTCACCCTGTACAAGGCACGAGAACTACTCTAGGTAGAGGGTTATAGAGTAAGAGATACAGTTTGTGGGGAAGATAATGGTTGACTCTAGATTTGACCAGATTAAATCAGTAGTGATCAGGGAAGTATCCTCCTGGGAGTCGGTTTCACAAAACAGTGCATCATAGGAAGAAGCCGCTTGAGTGGACTGACATCTCACCAATGGGATACGAAGGGAATGAAGGTGGTTCACTACAAAGTACGTGGCATGGTGGGTCTTAGTTGTGAAGGTGAGAACTTGTGAAACTAAGGAATGTAGTTCATCTTATCACTTTCCATGGAAATAGTGATAAGGCAGTGAGAGTCTTGCAAAGATTCATCTGTGAGAAAGGGGTTGTACGGTGGAAAAGAATTTGTCACTCACAAGAACGCAGAGATGCTTTTAGGCTTCATCAAGACTGGAAAGTCAACAGCAGACAGCTGCTGCCCATATATGGTAACAGTATTCCATTTTTGGCCTGAACTGACTCTTGTAAAGGTAGAAGATCACAAGAGGAGTTAGGTACTTACTGGAGCATCTTTAGCGATGGATCATATGTACGAGTCCCACTTGGGGTCTGGGTTGAATTTAAGTCCCGATAGGTGGTCAAAGCATGGGGCCCCCCTGAGGGAACATCCGTTCATCATGATTGGTGATAGTTCAGGGTCTGATTGGTGATGGAATGAAAGTCATGTTGAACAGCCACTGTTTTAAATCCTTTCACATTAATACAGGTGACACCCATGGCTCTATCCTTGTATCTACTTTGTTTCTTATCTTTATCAACAACCTATGTCATCATTTCCCAACTTGGTATTTACCTGGATGACACCACTATTTACTCCTGTCTTAATAGTAAGCCCAATAGGTTCAATAAAGTAAAATTGGCAGCTGATAGTGAAAATTACTGCTAGCTTTTAGTAATCTTAGAAAATCATTTTTATGGCTGATGCTAACCTCCAGGAGGGCAACTCATTGTACCATCTTGGTTTCACATTTTGTATTCACATGAAATGGAAGGATTATATTGATTCAATTGAGGGCACCTCGAGGTGGTGTAATGGTTAGCAAGCTTGGCTCACTAGAACAATTATGACTGAGTAGTGAGTTCGATCCTCACTGGGTGCCCCCTAATTTTGGCCTTGTGCCACACCTAAGCTACACTTGGAAAATCACTATTTGGGCACTTCAAGGTGGTGTAATGGTTAGCAAGCTTGTCTCGCTTGAACAATTACAAATGAGTAGTGAGTTCGATCCTCACTGGGTGCCCACTTACTTTCGGCGTTGTGCCACATCCAAGCTACGCTTGGAAAATCACTATATTGATTCAATTGGAAGGTCTGTTGTTAAGAAAGTTTGATTTCTTGCCAAAATCCATCTTGCATGTTTATGAATCCAACATTTGTCTATGCATTGAATATTTGTTGCCACATATGGTCTGGTAATCCTGTTATATATCTTGGGATTCTTGACAAAATCCAAACAACCTGGGTATGACAATAAACTACATCTGGCAGCAAGGCCTCTGATTGGGAGATTTTGAGGAGCATGGAACCACTTCTTAATAGCTTTTGTTCCCAGGTCCACTCTGACCCAGGAAAGTAGCATGTTAGGGTATCAACTATGGCCAAACGGTTAACTTCTCCAAACTGGAATCAAAACACTATGAAAGTATAAAAATACATTTTTATAGTGAAAATACCAGCCACACATTTTCATAGTAAAAAAATTACCAGCACTACATTTGTGTAAAAAAAAAGAATATTACCAGCAATACATTTTTGTAAAAGAAATTACTAATGCTCCCAAGAAAATTAAATTTTCGTATTAAATGACCCATAAGGATGTTGATATGCCAGTAAACAAGCAAAATCCAAAGAAGGATCTGTAATGTAATATCTTGACCAATCACTTTCCACTGCTATATCATGTCTTCCATCTGCCTTCCTTACAAACATTTTCATGGCAATTGTCTTAATGAGCTTCCCTCCTTGGTATCTCGACCATATATGACTCTGCAGGCCACAGACAAAACATTGCAAGCCTGTTGCTACTCTCTCACTATATACATGGCATTTGTTCTTTAGTTCAAACTATGTTACAACCACAAGGTCAAACCACCTTCATTCCCTCCATATTCCATTTGTAAGGAGGAAGTTCCACACAGCTTTTTTCCAAGAACCACTGCTTTGTGGAACAGACTCCCACATGGATGCTTCCACAAATGTTATGATCTTAGCCTCTTTGAATTATTACCTATCCTGTATATCCTCATAATCTTCACTTCCTACTCGTACATTTATATAACATACCTCATTCAGTGACCATCTACTTTAAGTGGCTCTTGAGCCTTATATTAGATGATTTTAGTAAAAAAAATATCCTTGCTCTTCGGAATTATTTCCTTTTGAATATTGCCACAATTTATAAACATCTATTAATCATTGCAAATAATTAATTAGCCACTTCTCAATAATAACAGCTTCAAGTCACCTTACCAACATAATGCCCTAAACTATTTAGCCCCCAAAATTATGAAACATCATCACTATCATATCGTCTAAGTGCCATGGGTGAATGATCTGAAATCAGAGAGGTCTACGGCACTGTGCCGTATCCCAGAGTTTGAATTAAGCCTGAAGAGTCCATTATTTTCTGTCACAGGTTGAAGTAATGTGGCCAGTTTCTTTCTTCAAGATGACAGACAAGGTGGATTTGTTTTTAAAGTTACCTTCTTCTAGCCTTTGTCTAAAGTGGCAGGATGTATAAGGCAGTAGGTGATTGGACCAAGCAGGTTTTGAATCATGAGACCAGTTGCCACCCAAGCTATAGAATCAAATCTGTTGTGCTATTTACTCATAGCTGGGGGTGGGGGAGAAGAGACATACCTTCCCAAGTGTATTAGCATGTAAGTGAATGTAATGAACTTGACTGGAATTCAATCTCGGCTTTCCAGTTCCTCAATTCAAGCCACAAATCCATTACTCCACTGTACTTCCATCTTTTCTATATTTGATACAAAACCTACCAGACAAACAGATCAATTTTTGGACTTTCACTGATTTGAAGTACTGCTGGAGAGTGAGAAAAATTGAAAGATTCAGCATATTTTTGCTTTTCTGTCAGAATTTCAGGGATAGATAGTTTACATTATTTACATATCCTCATCCTTGTTGGTGTTATGACAATGTTTTGATCAGTATGCTTTCTGGATTACTTCATGTATCTGTCAATCTGGGTTAACATTCCGAGATTTTCAAATGAAACTTTTCGTTTATTTTTCACACATGCAAAGCCTTTTTTTTTCACCATTGATTTTAAGCAGTTGTATACAGTTGACAGTTTAGATATTTCTCAACAAGTTTGGCACCCCAATGTCTTAGTGGCTTTACTGCCTTGCTTGGGGTGAAATGATAAAAAAAAATCCAGGAAAGGTTACCGTTTACCATTTCCCTAGAGACATTTCCCAACTTGTATTTCTATCGAAAAAAAAGGGGGTTGAGCTAAGAAATTAACTGGCCAACACTTGAAGGATATTCTAAAATCCAAAGTCTGAAAATGGACAGAAGAATTCTGCGTGCTTTCTCCTTTCCTAAAGGCATTTACCATTGTCTTTCTGCTCATCACTAGCATCACATCTCCAGCAACACCATTAAGATCTCCTTTATTTGGTTTCTCGCCAACATTCAGCGGGGAAACTTCAACCACACCAATCCTCATCAGCCACCATTCACAGAGGCTTTGATAATCACCACCACCATTACACCCCCCCTCATCTCGCTACCCCCTCTTTCTAAAGTAACTATTATTTTCCATAACTGTTATCACCATCCCCATCACAAGCAACTTCCAATACAAACAACTATTATCTTCATCATCATCACCACCACCATCATCATCATAACCTTTTCTCTTCACCCCACCCCCTAACATCTCCCCTCCTCTTGTTATAACACATCAAAAGAGTTTTGTTTTTTTAAGCCGTATTATATCTCTGTCTCTCTCGGTTTATGGCCATATCATGTTGAAACACCAGTTCTCATATGGTCTCCGAAGTTAAGCAACGTTGAGCCTGGTCAATATCTAGATGGGTGGCCACCAGGTGCTGCAAGGCTGGATGTGTGGGTGGTGTAATGGATGATGGCTCAGAATTTGAAATCAGAGTGAGCTGAGTTCCAATTCCAGTTGGGTTTGTTATATTCATTTATACACAAATACCCTTGGAAAAGGTATGAATCCACTACTTCTCCCCTACTAGATATGGGCTAATTGCAAAAGGTTAATAAACCCTAAAAAGTATATATATATATATATATCTATAAAAGGCAGGATGTGTGTGTGTGTGTGTGTGTAACAAATGCATGGCTGCAATTTTCAACGGATTTGCACCAAAATTTACATGCACATGCTCCAGGTTAGCGGGAAGGCCAAGACTGACTTTGCATTTCCCAACTCCCATCGATAGTGGAAATAATTGATTTTTTTCATGCTTCTATGGCAGTTTTCATGCAGTTTGCGGCTATTTTGTACTGGCCAGAGTGAGAGCCAATAGCTGGCTGCCACGAATAGGCAGGAAGATTCTATTGGCCAGTGTGAGAGCCAACAGCTGCCTGACACGAATGTTAACTAGCATGCTAGCATGCAAAAAAAATCGATAGCTGCATTCGTCACAAGTGGGAAAAATTTAAATCTGCATGGCACTTTACTCCAATTGGCTCATTAAACTTAAACTCAACGTTGATTCTGATTCCACAGAACTGGCGGGTGTGAAAAAGTATTTGTTGTTAACATTCTTTTTCATTCGGTTTTTCCAGTTACGAGTACTTTTTTAAAGCTGATCGTTTTGTGTTCATTTTGTTTAGTTCTTTTTCGTAACAGATTTAATGTTTAGTATAGAGCTTAGAAAAAATTTGCAGTGTGAGAGAGGCAAGAAGTAAGGCATGTAGCAACATCAGCACGGCAAAGGGCACTCCTTTAAAGGCAAGGAAGGGCAAAAATATTTTAAGTCAAGTGATAGCGATTGCTGTATGAGTCGTACGATTTTTGAATCAAGCACAGGCAACGCTGGGCCATGCTGCTAGTGTATATATATATATATATATATATATGTACATATATCAGAGAGAGGAAAATTGTTATTTTTGGGCTTCTTGAAGCTGATTTTTTCCCTTTGCGAAAAGAATTTTTATGGAAAAAGATAAAAAAAAAAAAGACATAATAAAAAAACAATCCAAAAAGAATCTAAAAAGACAAGAATTTGCAAAAGGTAGGCCATACCATTTATTTATATCAAATAGTAATGTTGGCAAAGCACGTATTTCACACTGCAAATACTCAGGCCTGTTACCTACTTGGCCAATCTATTACCCACTCAGCCATCTTTTCAGTCAGCCAAACCATGTGATTCAAACTCCAAGTGCATCTGCTGAGCTGTTAAACAAATAAACTTATCTCATAGACAACTGGGAGTTTCTGCACATTTATATCAGTGTATCTGTGTCAGACATTTTATACCAGGAGCTTTTCTAAATTGTACAGGAAAATTGGAAAAAAAAAAAGATAGAGATTTTAAACTAACTTCCTGAAGCTTGCTAGAGAGAGAGAGAGAGAGGATCTTATGTATAGGGCTTTTCTCATGTACAAATATATAAATGGAGTAATGGATAGCAGCTCAGATTGAAGAATCAGAGAGCAGAGTTCGAATTCCAGTTGGATCTATTACATTCACTTATGTGATAATACTCTTGAGAAAAGTATAAATCTTCTTCTTCTCCCCCCCCCACCCCAGCAATGGGTAAATAACAGGACAGACTGGGTTCTATAAACTTGGATGGCAACTGGTCTAGGAGAAATGTTCTGTATGCCCGAGTACTTTCGGCTATACTTTTAGCCATTATTAAATATGATTTTATTTTTACTTTTAACTGAATGTATGGATTGTTTTATGACTGTATCTAAAGTTGCAGGAATGTTTTATTTTCTAAACATGCTCAACACATTGTGGCTATGTTCATACTTGATATTATTGAGTTTTTTAGCAATATTTTTAGACTTTTTTTAGAAAAATTAAATAAAAAATTTAACTGCAATAGCTTGTCAGTCATATTAATGAAACTTATATAAAAGAGGGATGGCTGCCCAAATATACAAATATATATATATATATATATATATATATATATATATATATATACAATAATAGCTCACCACTTGTATTCAAGAATAGCTGTATACTAGAGTGGGTAGCCAATTCCTATTGCAGATGTCCACTTAGGTGCATTTATGTTTGTTCAACACCCACAAAGCCCACCTGTGGTTTATACTGCATCTATGCTGAGCAGTTTCTGGGAGAGAGTGTGATCAACACTCTGAACAAGGCCTGCATACTCAAACCCTCAGTCACGATGACTTGTGATTTGTGCTAACACAGTCACCGACAGCCCCCAATGGTTCCATCTACCCAATTTCACTCACTGTGTGTGTGTGTGTGTGTGTATATATATATATATATATGTGTGTGTGTGTGTGTGTGTGGTGAGGAGATGCTGAAAAGTTCTTGGTGCAACTCACTTTCCAAATTCTGATCAAATAAACAAGCATAAGAATTGGTTGGTGGAGCAGTATCTCCTTTTGGTTGGCCCCAAATCTTTTCAGCAAATTCCTTGATAGATAGCTAGATCATGTTCATTATAGGCCAAAAGATTGTGTGCCACCCCCCAGGTTTAATAATTAGTAAGTTTTATGTTTTCTTTGATTTAATTAATTCCTACTAAGCCAGGATGCTGAAACTATTTCCTGCCTAACATCCAATTTTCTTTTTTAGTGAGTCTCAGACGAATGTCAGTCATGAATCATCTGATGTGGTTCTGGAAGGAGTGTTATCGTCCAGTTTACACAATCCAGGTTGTAAAACACCACAGGGAGAATATATGTGCTGTAGATCTTAACTTTGATGTAGGGAATATGACAGGACAGTAGGAGAAATTTGCTCCTTTTAAACGCTTACCCAGCCAAGACTTATTCTATGTTGAACAGGAATTGGAACCTTGATTCAAAGATGAAAGTTTTTGGCCAAAACAGACAAATTCATTTACTTGATGAATTAGCTTGCCATAGACTATTATGTTGAAAGGGATATTATCTTTATTAGTGGCTATGCACTTTGTTTTAGACATAATCATGATCAGAATGACTTCCTCTGACATCAGTATCAGTGATTTTAGGTATTATTTAAGTTTATTGAAAATTCACCCTGAGGAGAAATTTCAATAAACTTAAATAATGCCTAAAGGTTAAATCCACTTTTGCAGGAAGGGAGACAAGCTACTGCCACTGCTTAGTACAAATCTATTAAACTGAGGGGTAGGAGTCTAATATCTACAGAAATTTGTTTACCAAGGATGGTGAGTTCAATTCTAAGTAGGATCACAAGTCAGTATAGTTAACACTTATTATTATTGAATCTATGAAAAAACAATTCAGGAAAAGAAAGTCACTTTGGCTCAAAGAGAGCTAGTAAAATAGTTTTGAAAAATGACTCATTTCCTGTCTTTTGAACAGGAGTACAGGTTTATCCCTTGTTTCCTGTTTAGGACTGGGTTTCAGGATCTTTCTAAAGCCTTCTCATTTTGTTTTTTCCCCCAGTAACCACTTGCATTTTAGTGTCATTATCATCTTTGTTGGCATGAAATGATTAAAATAAAATTCTTCAAAATCCAGAGGGTGTCCCAAAACTTTTAGCCTATAGGGTAAATATTACAGATATAGCACAGTATTTTTTTTCTACATCACCAAAAACCAAAGACATGATATTGCAGTTTGATTTTAAGCAATCATAGAAGAAAGATTTTGCGCTGCACAATTACCATAAGAGAAACAAAAGAAACAGAGCCATTTTCTATTGCTCCATTGGGTTATTTTTCTGGTTAATGTTTAATTAACTACTACACTCATTAACAATCTGATAAAATTAACCAACAAAGGTTAATGACAGTTTCAGAAGCTATTTTAGAACAGCCAACACTTAATAACCTTGCCAATGATACCCTATAAATTAATGTGACTTAATTTACCCTACCCATTTTGTTGCCACGCCTCCACCCTTTAGCTCATCTTCCAGTGCCCTCTATTTCGACCCCTTACCCAGATGAGTTGGTAGACAGCCAGAGTTGCACTGTTTTCTTCCTTTCATTTCTCTCTCTTCTTCTCTTTCTCTATTCTTCTATGCCATTAATATGATGATCAGATTTCATCTTAGTGCATATGCAGGACAAACTAATTCGACATCAAAAAAAAAAAAAATACAAGAGAGTAACTGGCCCATGCTGAAGAGATTAAATGATTTGGAACTGATTGCATTTTAACTGTTTGCACTAAGAGTTATAATTGTGCTGAGGCAGGATCGGATGGAGAGTTCAGTTTGAAGAGAAATTATTTCAGGTTACCAATCATACAAAGCTTGGCTTTGGTGAGGTTTAGTATGATAGAAGAGTTCAAGTAAAACTTAGAATTCACAATTATATGGTCAATAAAAAAAAACAAATAGAAATAGTAAAGAGAAAGAAATAGATAAATTAACTAGGAACATAAATAGTAATTAGCATTATATATATATATATATATATATATATATATATATATTCAAACATGTTTCATTGAATAATATAGACATATGTCTATTTTTGCAATAATCATTTTTAGTTCTCTAATCAGTTTCTTGATGTTAAGATGAAATTCATTAAGGAATGTGCCATAGTTTTTTCCTACCTATGTACTTTTGATCTCCTCTGAGATCATCCTAAGGAGTGAATTACAAAGAGAAAGTTATTGTACCTGTGAGCATTGTGATGGTGATTTTTAAGAACACATGCAAATTATTTTAAAATTTTTAATTTATCCACTGTAGTTATGGAATTTTTGCAAAACAATCATCCTGATATAAGGGAGCTAACCAGAAATTGATAAGATGCAAAATGGCATTAATATCAAAAGCAATCAGCCAATGCTGAACAAAATTTATTCCAAGTGTAGCAGCAACGTTTTGAAGTGCATTTAACCAACATTTAATGCCATTTTGCATTTTTACCAATCTGGATAAATTTT